GTCTAACACAATAACAGTATACTCAAATGAAAAAAATAGTTTAAATTTACACAGTTCATGTGCTGGAAAAAGAAAATGATAACACATTAGATTATAATAACGTTATATTTGGGGGTAAAATCAAAATGAGTCAAAAATGATCATATGGAAGTCTGAGGGTCAATGCCTGCGAGCTAACTCTGCTTTGCTATCTTAATAACTTTACTAATTCCTCAACATTACATCCTTAGATTTTGTACAGTGCTCTGAAATAATGTTTGTTGTATCCGCCGCCATCATCTGCCTCCACCATCGGCCTCCAGCAGCTCTGTTGTCCTCCACCCATATTTTCAGTTCCAGGCTGAGTCATTTCTACCTTCTCCTCTCTGTCAACGCTCTCTGGTTTCATTTAAAAGAGTCGATCATCAGATATTGTCCAAAATTAACCTTCAGGGTGGATATAGCTCGCTAGCAGCCTCGCACCGAGGACCTAGCCACGTCATCATTTACCCAGAATGCTTTGCATGTAAATAAAATGGCCCCGTCTGTGTTAAAATATATTTTTTAACTTTTAGTTTAAAAATGATAAAAAACCAAACAGCCAACAGTATTTTTACAGTCTTTATATTACAGTTAAAATATATGTTTATCAAATAAAGTCTAATGTTACAACTAATCAGGGATCCCTTTAAAACTCAAAAGGTAAGAAGATTTTGGTGAACTCTACACATCTTGTAATAATAATTTCTAAAATTGGTTTAAGAGAGTTGCTGTTGCTTTTCACTGCAGAACAACATGAGGGGAAAATTGTACGTTACTATACTTCACAGTATGCATGTATGTTATAATGTATTGCCCTAAACCTGGAAGCTTACACTAGTAATGAAACAGTTGAGATAATTCAGGCTCAGTTCAGTCTGTGTGCTGCTCCTGTACAGCATCTCTGGYCCATCGCTGAGCTACAGGCGCCATCTTGCTTTGTGAGGCTCATCGGGCTCCATCCGTTTTCTATCCTCCTCAGCTGTTTCTCTCCAGCCCGCAGTTAGCGGCTGGAGCTCCGCTAATCGATGGGCCGTGCGCCGCTCAGTAACTCACTGTGGTACCACTAAACCACAACTCGGTGCTTCTTTATAAAAAATAAAAAAAACTGAAGTGTTCAAGATGTTTTAAATTGTTGTAGACTGTCAACAAACCGAGCTAGCTTATAACCATTTGTCTGCTAAGTCCGTCATAAAGACAAGACATTTTCTGCATAGCTAGCAAGCTACATTAGCTAGAATAAATGAATAAAAAAGACATGCTTTTATTGGAAAGCTTGTAAAACAAAAATGGCTATAAAAATAGCCAACATGGCAGCAGTACCGAGCTGCCAATCACTGACATCTAACGGTAGGCCTCTTGCATTGCTGACATTCTTGTTAGCTTGTTTATTCTACGCAGTAAATCAGTTTATATTAGACTATGGTTTAAAAAAAAAGACAATATTTCGTAAAACATAAATGTTTAAGTAAAGACTCATAAGAGAGGGTCACTAATTGCATAAGCAATAATAACATTTCTCTCTCTTGTGTCAGTAATAATAATAATACAGTCTAAACGTTATAAAACACGGGTTAACTTGTGGTTTAGGTATTTTTAATTGCGTCACACAGTGTCTGGTTGTAGCACGGTGCCAGGCCCGCTCCGGCCGGGTCTGAGCCCGGGGAACGGCTCGCCCACACCCCGCCACACAGGCTGCGGTTTCTTCGCTCCGTACTCACCTCGGACTGAAGCGTCAAGGTCGCCGCCAACATGAGCAGAAACGCGGCGTACTCCCCCATACCGACCCCCTGAAGTCCAGCACCTCCGTTATGGTCGCGGGTGGGTGTTCGTGTCTGTTCGCAACAACAGAGAAACGCTTTAAAAAAGACGGTTTAAACGCGTCGGACTCGGCCGAGTTCGCTCCGGATCCCGATGATTTTTTTYCCCCCAGTTTTCCTCCGGTTGGTGGCGGTGTGAGGCTGAGGAGGAGGGGAGGTGGGAGCGCCCRGACACGTGCGCGCAGGTGCGCGCGCCTTCAGACTGATTTCTGTGGAAGTTTAGGTAAGACATTCCTCATTTTTACTTTCCATTTCACCAGCAGATAAAAGACAGATGGCACTGAGCTCAGACAGACAGATGTTGGATAACAGCAGGATAACTCAGCAGCTCTCACGAGAAAATGAGGACTTCCTTGTGGTTCATGTTGATTGTAATGGGCTCAGGTAAGTCATGGTATCACATTGGAATAAATGTCTCTTTGAGTTTTTATATCTATTTTCTTCCTTTACCATAAAAGCATCTTTACAATGGAAACATGCTCCTAAAGCTCATTTTTGCAGTACGGCTTATTATTTCACATGCTGCATAATAATGTGATGCAAATTCAGTTTGTAATTAAAACTTATTTACTTTAAGGTTTTGTTTTTAGCATCATTCTGACAATAACTTTTCACAACACTATTATGTTCTGTCTGATACTAAATCCTGAATTCTTTACGCTTATTTTGTCTCTAAGAAGTCAGGCTTACTTGTAATGTTTTAAAATGCAGCCTGATCTATAGTTATTCAGACTTTCTGATGGTTTTTGTAAAGTTTTTTTTTTTTTTTCGAAAGATTGCTTTGGCTGATTTATTATTTTCTGCCAAGTTTTTATGTTCAACTGTGCGCTGGATGTTTGAAACAAAAGTGTAGTTGGAGGACAATCTTTTATGACCTATGTCAGGTCATAAAAATAATCTACGGCAAATCAACAGTTTCTGAAAAGAAATCCAACAAAGACCTGAGAGATGCATAAGGGGTCACCAACAAATATCGGATCATTTTAGGTGTGTTTATTTACTACTTTGTAGTAATTAATCTATTTATAGTTTTATTTTAAGTTTTTTTTAATTGTGTGAACTCTTTTGAAAAAGTAACTGAGAAATTAATCTGTAAATCTGAAGACAGTGGCGCAACACAAATGCGTCGTGTGTGTGTGTGTGTGTCTGTGTGTGCTTGGTTTTTAGCATTTCTTTTCATCTTTAGTGTATCTTTCTGGTACACTTCCCTCTGTGGAACAATTGATTAATTGTAGTTCATTTTTCTTTTATTTTTATTTAGATAAGGATAAAGACCTCATCAACATTATTCTTTTTTTCTTTATAATAAAACTTTTTGCCAATAGGCTTATTACCCACACTTCATCTCCATATTCTTCTGTGTTATTTGCTGGTTATATTAAGGTCAAAAGTGCACTTGTTCTGAGACCCCCAAGGGGCAGGCGTGTCCCCCCTCTCCATCCCGGTCCCTTCAAGCCCCTGCCGGGGGAGTTATAGAGGTGACAACAGCGCGAGGTGAGGGAGAAGATCTTCCAGGTGAAGGGATGACTTCGCACCTTCAAGACCTCCGTAAGACTGTGCTTCTGATAGAGGATTACTAACTGTATTTAAAACTTGATCCACACAGGCCCTTAGTGTATTTAAAAATCCTACAAGATCAAAATTTATGGCTAGAAAATTATCTAATAAAAGATATTTTTAGCATTATTTAGATCTGAGTCTGTAGGTGGGATCCAGCAGGTCTGAATATCCTCAGAAAGACTGTTTTATTCAAGAGAAAACTCCTGAATACTTGCTGTAATTTACTACTAATAAAATTGGGCTTATTACAGAAGGAATCAGACCTCAGCTGACCTAACAAAAACACAAGCTGAGTATGTGAGAGGTGATGGTGCCATGCAGGTTGATTTGGGCAACATAAAAGTGTTACAGAGGCATAAAATGTTACAGATGAAGGTCATGAAAACTTTGACTCGTTAATTTGAAGTTTTTAAGTTAATCAGTCTCACCTTCAGCACACAGATTATTAATCTCTTGAACTCGAGAGAGAAGCGAGTCGGTTTGTTTGAATTGTTAGTTGTTAATGATTTAGTAATGCATATCTGCATATTTAATTATTATCCAGTTTCTCATCCAAAGACTGAAAAACAAACTTTATGTTGAGGAATGAGGAAATGGTTGTGGTTAAATGCTTCTTTGTGAGATTTAAACACCTGGTTAGGTTTAAGAATTAAAAATTACTTTGTTTTAAATGAAAACATGATGGCTCTGAAGTGTTACTGATGTGATGAGATGAACTGAGTATATGTAAAAAAAATATATGTCAGTGGGTTTAGTTTAGTTTATTTAACACATTTTTATTTTAGTCTTGTTCTCAGAAATGTTACAATAAACAGATTTTAACGGAGGAGTGGACTAATTAAATGGCATCTTTTCTGTTGTAGGTAATGACAGTGTCACAGTTTTTGCTTTCCTAAATGAAGATGCTCTTCTGCCGTGCACCTGTATGAATACAGAACCGAAAAAGGCACTTAAGTGGCAAACAGAAGAAGATCAGTCTGAGTTGGTTTGGTCTAACAACAACTACACGGACAGAGTAAAAACATTTTTTAAAAGCAATGCCAGTAACTGCTCTGTACTTCTGAAGAATGTCACAGAGATTGACCAAAAGAAATACAGATGCAGTTTTAAAAACAGAACTTTCATATACCATTATTACTTTGTGAATTTGCAAGTTTGTGGTGAGTTAGTCTTCTTCTTCAATATCAAGATCTATCAGAATATTTGTTAATTCTAACGAATTTATTTTCTTACCAGGGCCCAAACCTTGCCTGCAAAATTTAGCAAATGAAAAGCGTTTAAAATGTGCTGTAAAAAGCCATAACAAAACTGGATTACAGTGGACTTTAAATGGAAAGCCACTTGAAAATTCAACTGAGCATAAAATATCCAACTGCTCCATTCAGACTGATGGCATCTTCCATGTTACCAGCACTCTTGAATATCTGACAGTGACCAATTCCAGCTCAGAAATTAAATGCAACATGGTTCCCTTAACTGGGGGTAAGCATTTGTATTAAACTGCAGTCTTGCAGTAGATGTGTCTTTTAAGATTCATTACTGTCACCATTTCAACACATTTTGTAATATTTAACACATTAAAAAAATGTCATGCTCATCAAACTATAAAGAAAGACAAATCATGTGATCATTTGCTTTGCTCTATTTGTCATTGATTTAAATATCTATATATTTTTCCTTTTCCCCCCTTTCAAACAGAGATAAGTGCACCCCAACATAACACAAAAAGCAAGACAGACATGCTCATTGGACTGGTCCTGGTAATTGGACTGATCATGTTAGTGGTTTTCATAGTTTTGTGGTGAGTTTTTGTATAAAGAAGTTTATACCATGCTTATTTATTACTTTATAGTGGTATGTATTTCTGCCTGGGTACCTTTGCATGTTTTTTCATTCAGAAACGTGTTTTGTTTTGTTTTGTTTTTTGGCTTGTTTGTGATATGTACCATTTTGCTTTGCACAAATTTAAGTCTCACAATATGACATTTAGAGATAATGCTTCACAATGCCACAACCGTATATTATTGTACTTGAACAACAGAGAGATTTCTGGGCTTGGTTGTAAGTTTGCTCATTACTTCTTACTTAAAGGAGACATATCATGCTAAATGCACTTTTTTGCATTTATAAACTATTTTTGTGCAATTATAGTGTCCAGGAGTGTAGAAACCTTTAATATATTCTGTCCAATTACTGCAAAGATATTTTTATATTTTTTATGGGTCAAATTTTTCCATTTGTTAAAAATCTGCTCTTGCTTATTTCGTTACATTGCTTATTTCGTCACACTTTTTTCTTCAGAACTACCATCTATGATAATGTATTTCCAGCCAACTGGATTTCATAGTCTGCCATTTTTTTTCCTCGCTGTGTGATTTTGTAGTTCATAGCGTCATGCCGAATATGCAAGTTCAGAAGTCAAATTGTTTGGTTCTGGGGTGTGTAAACTCACATGATTAATCTACAGAGACTACCAGCGTCAGAGCTTCTTCAAAGTGCCTGGTTATGTTTCATTTTTCAAGGAAATGGACCCACAACAGGGCAGAAAGTGCTTGCAGACAACACAGGATGAATGTTACAACAACAAGGGTGAGTTATGAACTGTAAATGTGTTTTAACTGTCTAATTTAGCTGTTTCTACCCTCTGTGTCAGAATATGAGGGGAGAAAGAACAGCTGTGTTTAAGTTTCTTTACCGAACGGGTGCTCAGCACCATGTTTTACTTTCACTTYCGCCCCGCACTGTAATTGGCATGTCCGTGTTGTTTTTCTTTTTAAAAATGCTGGAGYGTTTCACTTTACTGTTTCTACTATGCAAAGACTGTACATTTTAATGTTGTTGATGTTTTCCAGACTGCGCTGTGGATTTATCTCCAGTTGTCCCAGAGAAGGCCAGCATCTCCACACCACCTCCTGATGCACGCGTCTTCACTACACGTCTTGATGCCACATCTTCACACCACCCTCTGCAACACATCTGAACTTTTAAACTTCAATTTTTTGTCATAAAAACATTTCACTGCAAGTTGAACTTTGTGTATGTGATCAATTTATTTGATTTGATTGCTCCCATTTTTATCTTCTGTTGCTAACATATTTTATGAAGGCAATGCATTCCACATACAGAAAAAGCTGTTGAACATATATAATTTTGCATTTTAGGTAAAAATGGTTTTTATCAAAACCATAAATGTCATTTGACACTTTTTTATTGTTTATCAAGGAG